AGGTGTGCACGCATGCGCGACAGGTACAGGAAAGCAAATTTCATTCATGCCATAACTAACTTTGAGGCCGTGCCTGACCTGATGCAGGTGCTTCTGTGGCACGGCCACAGATGTTCGTGATGACGGCACTTGCATTAGCAAGTCGGTCGAGAGTGTGCAGAATAATGCTGACTATAACCACATCTACATGCACCTCTGTTGCATCTCCTGTTGACCACCGTCGCCAAAGTCTCGAATGTGTTCTCTTAGCCTGCTTCGGCCGGGTGATTTCCCGCGGGCAGGTTGCTAAAGAGACGGCTCGAAAGAGGAAGTGGGCTGAAGCCGCTGCCAAGGTACAAGTTCTTTGAGTACTACTTGGCTGGTAATAACTACTGCTTGGCTGCGAGCCTTGACACATCTTTATCAGCCTGGGCGAAGCCGGAAAGGTCCGGGAATGCACTGTGCAAAGCTCTGCTGAAACAACCCGGCATGTATGCCATGCCGCTTTTGCATCACTGAGGGGTGGCCGCCGGGCTGAGGGTTCCGAATCCCCTGCCAAGACTCTGGGAACGTGCAGCTTGATATTGAAGCGTATTGCGTGGGAGTTTTCCTCCTTGATTGTGTATGTCCTGTCTGATTCGCAGTTTTGACTTGTGAGACATGCAGTGCGCTGAGGTCAAGCGGCATGCTCGTCCGATGCATACTGAAGCCTGGCCGGATCAGGATAGGCTTATCCGAGGCATGCTAAGGACGGGGCTTTGTATGAAGGTAAGAGCGGGGTTGAAGGGTCGGACATCACCCCAGGCCATGGTTTCGAGTTCTATGCCAACTCCAAGCACGAGGATTCCAAGTGCTGGTTGTTCTCGGGACATAAGTCGCCGGGCCGGAATTTGAGCTTGCAGTGCGGGGCATGCAGGTGCAGGAGCTTCCAGTTGCTGGTTTCGGGTAGTTGCACGTCAATGGAGTTCCGGCGGCAATCTGAGGCGAGAGGGTCACATCATCCCAGTTCGAGCTTTCACGGGGCGCCGATACAAAGATGCAGTGTGCTATATCAAGGCTGGGCAGTACAGTTTCTTGCTGGTACGGGTCCGATCGAACTGCAGAGACCAGGATGGAACGTGCCGAAATCAGACAACTACTTTCTTTTTGGTTTTGTTTTTTTCTTCTGTTTTGTCGTCGCACGAACTTTCCTTCGTCACTTTGCTTCACTTGATACAACGCAATTTTGGATTTATTGCACAAGCTTCGCAACATGAGAGCATTCCTGGAGCTACAGTCAGAGTCACTCAGCATGTTCGATCCCGGAGGGAAGTACCGTGCAAGCGGCATCACAATCATAGTGTCAGCGCAAACAGTCACACCACAGCATAATCCTGCCAGCAGCGGAAGTTGCATGCATGGCGTTCACCCCGCCCCTCACCATCATATTCAGGTTAAAGACTTAAAGATGTTACACCTATTTCACACAGTGGATCGTGAAATGCAGCTCACTCTTCTCGCTCTCGGCGGGTGAGTGGTGGCTTGGAAGCAGAGGAAGCAGGTAACTTAAGACACCGCATAGTTCCCCGGTGCGGCTACAATCGGCTAGTTCCGACCCGTATCGCTCGTTGGTGATTGTAAGGCGTTGCAGTTTCTGCTGGGCTGGATTTGGTGTGCCGAGCTGGGCTGGATTTGGCAGCTTTCTTACCCTAACCGCCCTAACCATATCGACGTTGACCTAGTCGAACCTGGCACCTGTAATAGTTATACCGTTATACCCGGCTCGACTCGCTGCTGTGGCCGTGGCTGTGGCCGTTGATGCTGCATGTTCTAACCTTTGAGGCTGTCGCGCGCTTTTGGCCTTTTAAAGTTGCTCATGGTGGGCATTCTGGTGTATCAAACATGGCTTGAAGCTGCCACCTACAAAACTGTGCATCCGATGCAGGCTCCGTATCTCGAAGATGGATGTGCAAACGACTATGGAATCCCGGGCTATAAGTTCTCGCACTTGGGCATCTCATCTGAGATTGCTCACGGGAGGCCTTTCTTGATGATGCATCATGTTGGGGTTGGTTTCTCTTCTGCCAGACTCGTCGCTTCCTTGGGAACTAGACATGGTCTTGGTTTGCAGATTCTGTTGTGCTTCTTGCTGCATGTGTAATGTGGACAGTTTTTATATGAAAGAGCCAAGGCTACTGGTACATGCATATCCGCACCTCTGCGGGCGATGCCAGCCTATCCGCTTGTGCTACGCAGTGCGACCGTGCACGTTATGCATGCATCGGCTTCCACTTGTTTGAGGCCCCTGGACGGGTTTGAACGGGTTTGAATGGATGTAGTTGCTCAGTGTGCCAGTTGAAAGTGGCCGGTTGTTGCTGGGCTTACTCCGGGTCGGTGTGTCTGCTGGACCTATTTGGGCGAGAGGCAGTTAACTGATACAGGTCGTTGCGTGTGCGTGAACAACTAATTGCTAGACCTTCGCGGCACCTCCATGATCTCCATCCCTAGATTTAATTGGGTTCTCTCAACAAGTTGAGGACGGAAATGCAAGACACTGTTACTTGTGTCTTGGCTTCAAGATTCCACACACATTCGCGCAGACTGTCGGTGCATCAAACGAATCAAACTCCATCCCGGCGACCAGCATGATCTGCACATTTTCGCACCGGCCCCTGCAACCACGCGTTTGGCACGAAAGCATACCTCCCCAAGGTACAAACAAGAGCGAGCCTTCCACTGGTCCGTCAGCGACGGGCGGGCCAAAGCCTTTGTCAAATGTGCCTGGCTTAAGATAGGAACACGCTGCTGCTGTTTGGGTTCCAAACGACCATGATATGGATGGAAGCTGGAGCAATCCAGCTGTTATCCAATGGCCTTTCTTGCGCAAGCAGGTAATCACTTCCCCCTATATTAAACACCCCCCAACCAAAATACATTGGGGCGAACCCTCCCGAAATCAGCCATGCCCTTTACATTAAAGCCCATTCTGAATTGGGGGGAGTGTTTCGAGGCCCCAAATACCCTTAAAGCACAGTAAAAGCAAGAGCAAGAGCAGGAGTTAGAGCAACAGCAGGAGCAAGAGCAAAAGCGGGACACAGCAAGAGCAGCAGCACGAGCAAAGCAAAAGCAAGAGCGGGAGTAAGAGCAAGAGCAGGAGCAAACGCAGGAGCAATAGCAAGAGCAGGAACAGGCGCAAGAGACGCAGCAGAAGCAGGAGCAAAAGCAAGCGCGGGAGCAAGAGCCAGAGCAGGAGCAAGAGCACGACCCCTCAAAAGCGGGAGTAGAAAAGTACCCCCTAATAATAAGACATTCAGAGATTTTATTAGTGGGGGCCCTCCGTTTAATATTGGGGGGGAACGATTAACTTTCGCGAGCCTGGCCTCTGCTAAGAAAGCTGGTTTTTGAATATTAAACACAACTCTTCCGATATTGCTTCAAGAACATTGCCAGTGTCAACCCATCACTTTCGGTGTTGTGTCCACATAAACTAGTTGCACAAGCTTTTGGCACCTCTTGTTCGATGAGCACAAGCCGACCAACCCGCTAAGTTGTCTTCGTTGTCCGAAGAGCTGTTGAAGTCTTCTGGATCAGCCGAACCCTGATCTCGAACCTGAGCTAAGGCAAACAGCCAACTTACCATGCCAACGATCAAAGCCGGGAGCCGAGGAAGGCTTAAAGGCCATGTTTGAGAAATAAGCAGAAGAGAGTGTGTATCGTTTCTCCTTTGCAGCAGCTGTCAGGGTTTGACAGGATTGACAGTGTCGTGGAAGACGTGTGCATCTTGACGCTCGCGCTCGTGTCAAGTCCCATCATCATCGTCATCAACAACATGTTAACGTGTCGTATGGTGGGATGCCACTGCCGCCGATAATTAGATGTCTGTTCTCGCCTGCGGTTGCCTCGTCGGCACGAGCCAAGGTGTCGGCTGGAAGCATTTCTCCGACCACTGCAAGGTCGCTCATGTCAAAATGATTACCAGCCTGCTGCACAATGCAGGGCATGTAGAATATTTTTCACAGGGGACCCAGTATCTGAGCGACGTTCCTTTCAGTCGTGACTGCGTTGACAACGGAAGCTGTTTCAATGGTGCAAGGAGAAAGGCCAGCGGCTATGCAGCTATCAGGACGCTGCTGTGAAACCACTGCTCCGCTCTTCTTTCACAGATTCGTTTCGAGGAGATTTGTCCAGCCGGACGAGGCCGCGAGCCTGTCGGAGGAAGACAGCCTCTCGGCATGTCGGCTACGCGGCCTAGGGGCAGGGTAGTCCCTAGGCCCTACGCCTTGAGTGCCGTCTTGCAAGTTGTAGGCACGAACATGATTCGGGATGGAGGCTTTTGCTGACTGCTTGCTTTCGCCATGGAATATGGGAAACCTGGGTGATAGCCTAGGGCCCAGGGCCGCAGTGCAAATATTGGAACCGAGGGCACAAACGGACGCCTGGTGCCCCATCGTGGACAACAAAGCTGCAAACTACGTTCGGTGTGGGAACGTTGGGACTGTCTGCCAGAAGCTGACGGAGTTTGGGGCGCTCGCTCGGCAGCCGCTTGTCTGCCGCTGCAGGTAACGTGCAGAGCAGCTATGAAGTAGTGGGCAGTAGTGCGTTTCAAGCTCACTTCGCCAGTTGGCCGGAAAGGAGAGACAGATGGCCTTTGGCGGACACGCGGCCTGACTTGAAGGATGCCTTCGCTTGCTGTGACGCCTAGCCTAGCGCAAGTTCACCGTCGGCGGCTCCTGCTTCGTTTTTCTGGGAAAGGAAGGCTTCCTGTTGCCATCTAAACGGATGAGGCAACATGCACTTGAAGATGAGATGTCGTACCCAGCTGGCAGCAAAACACGGCCCAACACCCCGACCTATGGGTTAGTGTAAGTTAGTGTCTTCTCTGGGTGATTGGAACACGGCAGCACTTCTAGCTGTTCCAGGCGGGTTGGACAGCGAAAATCCGTCGTGTGCTCTGCAGCCGTTTGGCTTCAAGCACTGGGGCTAGTTGAGATCTGTGCTGGTTCTGTGCGAACTTGGGCTTTGCATGCTTGCCCTGCCGCAATATGGAGTCTCTGCAGGTGGAGGACGGACGGTTCATGTCTGTGGTTTGTCATCTTGCGAGGATTCCGAGCTACCATTGTTTTGACCTCGGGACTAGGTGGAGCCTTCGCCGAATTTGCGTCGTTTCCAGGAACCTCCTAGGCCTTCTCGCCGACGCTCCTGGCCTCCGGATCCCGGCTCCCGGCGGCGGCACAGCAGCATCCTGGTGAAGGCAAGGAAGGAGAAGACAAAAAACACAAGTTGTCCGCTGTAATTTGTCCTGAGTTCAGGGCCGGAGCAGCTCAGTGGCGCTCCACGATGCGGCTTCGCGTATGTCCACCTGCGTGTATCTACAGACCTCGGGCCTCAGCGTGACGCAGGTTGCCAAATCGGCCAATAAAGCGCCTTCTTAAGCATAATCTTCCTTCCTGGTTTCGGATCTTTCAGGCAACTCTGGTGGCTTTCAACTCTGCAGTAGGCAGCTCGGTGGCGCTGGTCGGCTATTATCCCAGCCAAAGTGGATGGCAAGCCTTTGCTGTCATCATGCTGGCAGTGGCCACTACAGCGATGGCCCAGCAAAGTGCACTCATTTCGACAAGCTGCCAACTTGGAGCCGGGACCTTCGAAGAGCTGTGCCAGCCGCTTCCCAATTGGTCCAGCAGGGTCACCGTTGCGAGCTTCCTACTCTACTACTGGGGCTGCTTGGGCTTCTATGCTCAATTCGTCGAGGTGGGAGCACAAAGCTGTGATAGCGAAGCACCTCCCTTCCAAAATCGCCTTTGAGAGTCCCGTCTGCAGGTTTTCCTGGCCGACCAGCTTTGCCCTCTCTTGTGCCAGCGAGGGAGCTCCTGGCTTTGCCAAAGCGAATATCGCCTTGGTCTCCTAGTTTTTCTCGTCTTTGCTCTTGTGAGTTGGCCGCCGCAGTTGAGTGGGACCGCGGCGGTCTTCATCAACAACATGAACTTCCTTGTCAAGTGGGTCGTGATAGTAACAGCTGTAGCGAAAGGCGTTTACACAGTCATATCAGTCGATGCCGAGAGAGACTATGTAGCGTGGGCACCCAGTGGTTTTGTGCGGGTCGCGTGCTTGTTAATGTCTTCCTATGCCAACACCGGCATTATGCCCCAGATTGCTGCAGATGTTGACAAGTCGCAGCAGCAGCGAGCAGCAAAACTCTGCCCAATCATTGCAGTGAGCCTTCAGCTCCTGGTTTATTTTGCAGTGGCATACAGTGCATACTTCGCCCTGGGCGATGCAGTCACCCCCGGCGTTTTCGCTACGTACAACAAGCTCTACCCGGGCTACATGACAACCATTTTGCAGGGTGGGATGGCCCTGTTGACTTTCTTTTCATCTCCGCTGCTCATCATTCCACTGAAAGCTTGGACCTGAGTTTTGTGCTGCATATGCGCGAGCTTCAGCTTGCGCCGCATGCGCTCTTGCTGCTAGATCTTGGCTCTTGACTGCATTCCCAAGCTTCGTCATGTCAGTGCAAGCAGCTGTCACAGGTGCTCTTGTTGTTTCTTTATCATGCTTTTCATGTCGTGTGTCGAAGCAGGTTGAGGTTCATGGCCAGGCATGGTCCAAAATCCGGAGTGGCTGTGACAGCTGGCTGTGGCTCCAACGCAGCACCGACTGCACAGCAGGAAGAAAGTCTTTCATCAGTTTCCAACTTTGGCGCGGTACTCGTAGCTGCTTGTTGAGCAGCGGTTAGCAGCCAAGCCGCAAACTCTAGGACCGATGCAGCGGTCTCTTCTCTCCGAAGCACAACTCACCTGGCGTCTTCCCTCGTGTTCCCTCTGCGAGCACCAACGGCAGCAGCTGCCCAAGAACGTGACCGACGGTCCTCGCCGCAAGCGAAAGCCTTGACCCATGTCCAAAACGGTGCTGGAGCAAGCGAGTACGATTGAGTTGCTAGCCATGCCTACATCCGTCAGACAATGCAGGCACAAGCCTGTTGCTTGCAACCTCTGCTACTCACGCAGACGCAGAGCAGCACCGACGACGGCAAGCTGAAGGAGATCTCACTTCGCTGCAACGGAGTGCAATCCTATCGTATGAGCACAGCTTGAAGCAGGCACTCACTCCGAGACTCAACCGCCTTTCTGGAGACACTGCGAAGGGTCAGAAGTGCACTGGGGAGCGCACGCGGATCAGAGGTGACAGCAAGTCAAAGGAGACCAAGGCACACCGGACCTGGCAACTCGGGAAGGGCCGACACCGGAGGCTAATTTTATCGCTAACGCGAGGCCGCCTCGG